AAGATATAATCATATACCACAAGCTCCAATTGACCTCCTGGACATTTCTGGAACCAGCCCATCCCTTTTCTGAATCCACTATATATTACATGTCTTTCTAATACCCCACAATGTATTCAACTATTCCACAGTGGACATCTTATGGCATATCCATGGTTCATTAATCTTCCCAAGAATCTAGCCTCCTCTCCAACACATGAGCGATCTGTCAGAATGAAGATCTCACTGATCCAGCCACGGGTTTGTGGGTGGCATTGGAGTTAGTAAACAAATTCGCAATAAGATGCTTCCCAAAAATTTAAGAGATATGAGGAAGGTGTCAGTCTTCTCCCGAAGCTCTGTCTCGTGGTCCCTCCGCTGTCACAGAAAGGCTCTGAGACAGCTCGGCCATTCCATATCTCACCTGCGAGAGTACCTCTACCACACTTCACTTCAACTGAGGGAGTGGAGCCCACCAACTTGAAAAGCATTTCCTAGCAGCAGGAATAGCCACCTTTCAAGAATAGACTGCTTGGGGTTGTGAGTATATCATCTTAAGTGTATTCAAAAAGAAAAAAACTAGGCCGTTTTGGGAGCTGTATGATGGGGAACATCTCCCTCCCACACAATTGGAGCCAGATTCAAAGTTAGTCGCCAACATAGTCTCCCACAAGTAACAGTCGAAGCGAGCTCCAGCCTCCCAAGGTTTTTTCTACTGCCACTTTCCCCCATACCCATTGCTCATACATGCATTTTTTTCCAATAAAAATTCTCATTATTTCCAATCAGGAGATTTTATTTAAGAAACTACTGGCCTTTTTTCTTCCTCTGATCTACTATACTGGTGAACATTAACTTAGTCTAAGCCATCCACTGAATCAGACTTCAAATTGATGCATGATCTTGGAGCTCAGAAACCTTGGCTTCTTCTTCAATACAAGCAGCCTACATATTACCTCCTGTAGACATCACCCACTAGAGTGAGCAAGCCGATTGGCATCCTGTCGATGAGAGCTATCCATTCGAGATTCCTCTAAAGAGATATCGTAGAAATCCTTTGAACATAAGATCCGAAGCAGATTACTTAAACTTCTTCTTGTCTACATTTCTTTCATTATTAACACTGAACTAATCACTTACCTTAATGTTTTAATAAAAGGTAAGATGTAGAACACTGAGGAGTTGATTGGATCGATAAAGCGAATATTAGCAAAAGAACAAAGCAGATGTTAAACTACAATAGCGAGATAACGGTACCTGCATAATACGAAAAAACACAGGTACTAAAGGCCAGGCTGTACCTGGGAGAGGCTTTCAGCTTTAGGTGTCTCGCGCAAGTAAAAAAAGAATGATAACCATACTTAAAAAAGGTCATTCCCTTTATATGAGATTTGAGTTACCTTTCTTTTCTCACTGCCCTTTGTTGTCCCCAAATATTTTCAAATATTTTATCTTATATTACGCTAGACTTTATATCCTCATAGCCGAGCTTCATCACATAGATTCTTAGTGTGACCGTACTTTGAAACAAAATTCTATAACAAAATTTGGGCAGTGACAGCGAGTGTTGGAGGCTGGTGGATCGAAGTATGCGGGTGCGCGGCCAATTGTATCCCTAGGTTGCACCTACTTCACCCTGTATTCCTAAACACACCCCCACCCGCGCCTATGAGAAGGGAAGTACCTAAATGATATACCCTTAAGTTCCTCTAATACTTGGTTTTACTCCTATGTGACCAATCCCGAGTACCATATTTCCTTGCACTTCCAGCACCTGCTCATCTTCGCAATACTCTCCTCTAAATTGTTGAGGAGCCATGGAGTCTGAGTTTGAAGAACCCCTGTTTCAAAGCTCCAGAGCTGAAGCCCCTTTCCTCCCTCGACCTACAGAGTGCATCCACAAGTTTACCATGACGGGCTGTCGTTCGCAGAATAGGTCCCTATCCAAAACTGGGACCTTTGCGAGAGAGAGTGCTGCTCCCAAGCATTACCTATTGACGGAGGCTTTCACAAGCAGCTTAGATTCTCTGTGAATCTAGGAACGCACAGTAATTGACATCACTTCCATACTTACTGGTAAATTAGGTAATGAGTTGGTTTATCTGGCCTCCTTTTTTGTCTCATCTGGACCGTACACTTACTTCCTGGCTGATCCCTTGCACAGATTAGCAGTTAGAGCAAATTGGCCTGCTTTGTTAAAACGAAACAATGTACTTAATTGCGAGTAAGTGTTGCAGTCATATCCCTGCTAGTGTCTTTCCGTTTAGTGCATACTGTCATTTGGGTATATATTTGGTGCAGTGGTATAATGCCAACAGATGCATACGAGGTTCATCCACATTTTGTTGTTGCTCCCTATTTAGTAGAGGATAATGACAAGACACTAAATTGCTGCAGATTATACCTCTCGACATGAGATATAATCCCCGTATTTTCTCGCAGTTAATTGATAGACAATTGTTTAGACATTAGATTAGTCTTCTTATTTGCCCAGATAGGATGTCTGTAGTTCTTATCATTCTCTCATGGCATACGTAGTGAGCCAAGCAAACTATATTCCTTATTTATGCGCTTATTTTGCGCGCTATGTCTACACAATATCCACTTAAGGAAGGCTCACCTTCTTTGCGAGAAAATCGCCAAAATAATTTCTGTGATTGACAAAAAGACCAAATAGAATAAAAAAAAAGTATGTTGCATATAAAGGTGGTGAATATAAGACAGCAGTCCTTGCTTACGAGACTACAGGTCTTTCTCAAGGAACAATGCTTACCTTCTATACCATTACCATATTATGAATCTATTGTGAAGTTGTCTAGTAAAAAACTTGGTTCGTTTTATTTTTCTTCTTTTCAGCATTTTTAAAATCCGTGACTCTTTCATCTCAAGATTCCAGACTGGTTTATCGAATGACTCCATAACGATGGAGTTCACATTAGGTGTTTGAGGAAAAAGATGACAGATTTGTATTTCCAGTGACGTAGAGCACATAGACAAAAGAATGACCTTGAGGTAAGCACGGATACAACAGATTCGTGAGCTTCTGGTGTTGTGATAATGTGCCACATCTCACATTCTTAGTTATAAAAAAAAAAAATTGGTCTGTGAGCTCAAGCAATTACTGAATTTTGCTCAATACTTAATCACACGTCGTGTATCTAGTCACATCCTGATCCTAATTAATATGCCTCATTGAGTGCCCACCACATAACTATTTTAAAATTTGCTATTGCCAAATTTCATTTTAAAAGTTCCAGATTGCTTTTTAGGCTAACTCTTTTTAATATATTAAGAAATTGACTTCGTGTTTGCGTCCAAATATTAATATTTTCGCTTTCCAACATTGTTTCTTTCTCTTTCTTGCTCTGGACTTGGCTTGATTCAGATTCATTGTATCATTTTTCTCGAAATTGTCCAGGCATATTTTCGATTGCCTAAAGATATTTATTTCATGTTATATACATCCGAAAATTTGTCACATGCAGACAATTTTAATCTTTAGAACTCACCAAGATTATCATAGATACAGCATGAGACCCATAAGAACACATTCTGGAGGGCTTTAAGAATAGCTTACCTGTTCCAGTCTTCATGCCTGCAAAACATCTATTAATGTCGATAGTCCTTTAACTACTAGACCGTTTGTTGAAAAACAGATGAGATCCAAAGATTTGACATCACCTTACTCGCATTCCAACTCTGCTTTGAACTTGGCCTCATTTGCCTCCAATTAGTGTCGAAACATTTCTGGAGTCCTTTTGTGCTATTTTAAAAATGTGAGTGGTGTAAGGTCATATTCCGAGTGCACATACATCATATGCCCTAAACGTATCAGCTTCTCAAGAAATGTTTTATCATACCTATAGAAACCTTAAATTGGTCCTGATCACAATTTTATACATTTTTGAACTTTACAAATCCAAGTCAATATAATACAGAAATCGTTCCCCTGCTAAAACTTATTCCACCCCAAGAAAAGAAAAGGTTCCCTTATCAATAGTGCATCTTCCTCGGCAAATTGTAACCCGCTCAAACATGCCCCGTTTCCTCCTGCCCAAGTCACACTCTAATGTGTCACTTTATATATATATGTTGTGATTTATCACGAAGTTGTTTTCTGGCTAGCTTATCGTTAAGAAAGATCATCGCAATACGCATAATCATTATGACCAGCGGAACAATAATAAAATCACTTCCCATATACTATCGTGCTGGGTTTTTATTTGACTACATGAATCCTGTTTAAATTCATTTATTTTTCTCTTTTCCTTTGTGCTGATTTACCTATGTGGTTGGATGTTTTACCTAGTAGTTCATTCTTACTTAATTGCTGTGTGTAATTCAATGTTTATATACAGTCATGCACCTACATTGACATCTATCAACAAAGACCAATATACAACATGGTCACCTAAGATATGTGTATTTTTTACCTATACCTTTTCTAAGTGTAGATATGTTAATACACAATACTTACCATTGTGTTACATTCTGCCTAAGTATTCAGGTACAATACATTAATGTTCAGGTTTGTGAGGTTTGTAGCCTAAGAGCAATAGGTTCTATCATGACAAAGCCACTGTTCAGATAAAGATAATGTTAACATCCTCTCCCCCACCATTACAAAGTTGATATTTACATTTTTATCGACTTGTCTAAGGAGTGGGTACGGAGGTCTA